CCTCCCTCTCTTGTGCATACACCTTCTTGCTAGCACAGACATTCTACCAGTGGAACAGCTTCCTCAAGCAATCTGGACAGATACACCTAGAGCTTTAGAGGATATCTAACAGGAAAGAACTGTACAAGACAAGAAATATGTTCTCTTTCTTCAAGAGAAAATGCTTGTAATGTAATTGCATCTTATTGGCTAGGCTTATCAAAAATCAGAAGGGATGAGTTAAAGTAACAATAGGTAACCCTACTGATATTGTTTTTTCACCATGATGTTTGTAGAAAAAGCTTTCTTTTGGTAAGAGTTGACTTTACTGTTCCAGGATCTTGGTATTGGTCAAAGAGCTTAATCCCCGTCTGTACTTGTTCATGCATCTGTTTTTCCTAAGATACTCCTATCCTTCATTCCAAACTGAACTCTGCTTGAGTTCTTGATACCTGCTGGCAAATTCCCAGTTTGGTGAATTCTCTTAATCTATGTAGGCATATAAATCTTATGGAATGTGACTCTGAAATAAAAAGCATGCATGCATCTAGAAGAAAACTGCAAACATGTGTTGCAGTGGTCAATATTACACATTCAGAGTAGAATCGTGTCGTCCTGGCTGTCAGAATTTAGACACAACAGGAACTGTACAAGGAAAGAAGGAATTTACCATGGTTCAACATACTTACAAATACCTGGAAAAATAAAAAGCAATCTCAAATAGGAGCAATTTGAGAAAGATGGAGAATTTGAAACATTTGCTGACTGCAGTAAGAATAAACCTAGCAAGCTATTGAAAAAGAACTGTTTTGCTTACAGTGACTACCCTTACACCGTGAGATTAAATTTGAAGAATGTGCTACATTGGTCAAATTCATAGTATGTATCCATAATAGAAATTTAGCTAAGTTTAGGGAAGAAATGGTTCTTTTACATACCCTATATCTCAAAGCAAGACAGAATTAGATATTGGGAATACATTTTGGGGGACTGAAATAGAAACCAGCAAAAATTACTATTGTTTGATGTAAAGTTATGGACCTGTGGTTGAAGATATAAATGAAAGGGAAGGAAAGAGTGCAATCCATTGTTTATTTTTTAAAAAAATAAAGTCATTCTTTTTGCATCATCATCCTTTTTTTACTTTTTTCTATTTTCTTGGCATTCCAGTATTTCAACACTTCAAAAATAAATACAATAGTATTTTTCTAAGCAGGTTCAGGAGCTGAGATGAACAATGTTACAGTAGTTCTCCTCCTTCCTCCAGGGCTGGCTCCAGTTGGTGTTGGTGGTAGGTAGTGATCTAGCCTTAGATCCCTACTCTGTGGATTGCCTTAGATCAGGGGTGTCAAACTCTTAATGTCACATGACGTGTCGCAACGTATCACAACTTTTTTGCCATTTCTGGCAATGGAGTGGATGTGGTTTCGCTAGGATGCATCTGGCCCGCAGGCCCGGCAGTTTGACCCCCCTGCTTTAGATCATCCCCTTGTTTCTGCTTTTCCATGAAGCAGCTGGGGAAGGTCATCCATCAGCTTAGGGTGCAGTATCATCAGTACCTTAATAATATTCAGTTGACATTTCTACCCCTGAAGAAGGTAAGATTCTATTCCAGGGCTTTAAGATTGAGAGGTTTGGATAGAATTAAAGAGTTCAGCTCAGTCCAATCAAGATTCAATAGATGTGGGCTTGGGGTTCCCAGATCCCACAACTGGAGGCATTCCATCTTCAGTTCTAAAAGCACTCCTCCATTCAGATGTATTACATAATCAAGGGATCCTCCTGGATTCTCAGCTGCTGAAGTGGCAAAATGCTTTTGAGAAACACTGACTTGTACAGTGTTGGTTGCATTAATTCCTGGATTTGCTCTTTACTTATGACAGAGTCAGCTCTTGTCTGGACTACTAGTTTTGCTTTTCAAGGGGCTGCCCTTGAAGACAAGTTAGAAGCTACAATTAGTCCAGAGTGCAGAGACATCAGTGATTGCAGGATTAATTCAGTGTGCCCATCTAATTCCACCTCCTTGTAAACTGCACTGGCTCTCTATTGACTTCTGGGTATAATTTATATATACTGTAAACTCTGTATGGCCTAGTACTAGGTTATTTATGGGGCTGCCTTTCTCCAATGGTATCTGTCTATCCCACACATTCTAACAAGGTGGGCACACTTTGATTTCTTTCCTTCTCTGAAACAATGTAAGCATCTGCCTTTTTGAAAAATCTCATATTGCAAGTATTACAAAGTCCATCTTACATGGCCTATCAGCACCCATATAATTCTGTTAATGAATAAATCCTGGAGTTTCAGATTAATCACCCATGTATGAAGTGTGTTGACAGGTTGCTTTCAGTCCGCCGTAGACAAGCATAGTAAAAAGTACCAGTCACCTTTGCATCATAGAGTTCTCTACATGGTTCCAGTCTTTTACTTCTTTCCAACCAAATTCCAAACCAGTAAATGGTCTGATTGGATAGACAATGAAGCTCAGTCTGCTCATTGGACTACTGGTTAATATTCAAGGGCCCCAGTTTGATAGGTAGTCCTTGATTTAACAACCACAATTGGGATTAGAATTTCTGTTGCTGAGAGAGGGGATTGATAAGTGAGTTGTACTGATTTTATGAACTGTTTGTTATAGTTTTAAGTGAATCATTGCAGTTGTTAAGTGAACCATATAGTCATTAAGTGAATCCAGCTCCCCCGCTTTGAATCTACTTGTCAGAAACTGGCTGGGAAAGTTGCAAATGGCAATCATGTGACCCTGGGATGCTGCAACAATTTTAAACAAACCCCAAATTTTTACCATGTGACTGAGGGGCTCTTGCAACAGTCATAAGTGTGAGAATTGGTCAAAAGTCACTTTTTTTCCCAATGATTTTATAACTTTGAATGGTCACTAAATGAATGATTATTAAGTTGAGGATTATCTGTACCTGCCATCAAGAGTCTGGATATCGGAGTCATGTCAGAAATTGCAGTTAGGCCAATCTGCTGGTCTTTATTAGTAAAATCAGATTGGCAGCCATTATATTCCACCTCACCGTTAGGCAAAAGATACATCATTGCAAAGTCTAATAATCCTAAAATTGAATGGTGAGCTGAAGTCAAAAATATTAGCTTCAACAATCCTTACTGAAAAAGAAAACTTCAACTAAATACTATTTCTCCCACTGTTCCTAGTAAAGCATCATATATGCAACTTTTAAATGTTCAAGATTTTTTCTCTCTCTCTCAGTAAAATTTGGATAGAAAGAATACTGGCTAGTTGTTGACTGTAGCAAACAAGCAGCACTTGAATGCTAGAAGGACATGAAATGCAAATTCTTTTTTTCATGCACTTTTGGTGAAACAAGGGCACTGGAGTTTCATCATGAGGTAAATTAGGACCTAAAAGCATTATACCTGAGAAAAATCCATTACAGGAGAGGAAAACAAAACCTTCAAAATTATTGTGAGGCTTTCTGAAGTGTGTGTATAGCTTTCAGTTTTCTCTTACCTTTTCCTTCCCAAGAAACAGGAAATACAAAATGAAAATCCTTATTTAACTGCTATTAAATTGTGTTTGATCCAAACAACACTTTGTCATCATAACAAGCTAAATCAACAGCAAGGACATTTGTGTCTGTCTTCCTATCAGATTGAAATGGCTAAAATGCAATTAAAAGCAGGACACCCCTGTTTTAATTAACAGCGCTGTGAAATATTCAGCATTTTGAACTTGTTCCGGCTGCCTCTTATCACTGAATTACTGCCCTAATGTGTTTTTTTTGCTGAAGGATGGATTTCATGAAAGGGCTTCTGGATGCTGTTCTGGCATTTTGAGCTCTGTTGTCAGCTCTTGTGAACTGAGATCTTCACTGTCTTCAGTGCCTCTGACATGACTGATATGCACCATTTCTTGACTAGTCGGTCTCAGCAGATTTAAGAGGCCACATTTAGCCTATGAATTGATGAGTGGTTTTTTTTTTTTTTTTGATTAACTTAACGATAGAGATGTCGGATGACACCAGAGCTGTCTTCTTGGCACTTACTTCAGGTTATTCAGGCATGTTAGATATCAACCATCCTGCCTCTTAACAGACTTGCATTCTGAATTATTCAGTAATGAACGGACATACTGATTTGCTAGTGAAAACTCCCCCCTCACCACTGCCCCCGGCTCGAGTGGAAGTCTGAAAACATATGGGTTGGTTTAATGAATAGCAGAGAGATAGTATTGGACTTGACTGAGATCTGAACCCATTCTGAATCATTTTTGAAACATATACAGCCCTAATACTTCTTTTTTTTTACATACCATATTTTCCGGCATATAAGACAACTTGGCGTATAAGACGACCCCCGACTTCGGAGCCGATTTGTATGCTTTAGAAAGTTGTCTTATACGCCGGAAAATACGGTGATCCAAATTTGGACATTTGGCAACTGGCATGTATTTATGACAGTTGCAGTGTCCTGGAGTCATGTAATCCCATTTTGTGACCTTCTGACAAGCAATGGGGCAGCCAGATTCACTTAACAGCTGTGCTACTAACTTAACAACTGCAGTGATTCACTTGACAACTGTGGAAAGAAAGGTTGTAAAATAGGGCAAAATTCACTTAATAACTTTCTTGCTTAGCAATATAAACTTTGGGCTGATGTGTGGTCCTAAGTCTAGGACTATCTGCATGTAACAAATCTTCTTCTCTACTAACTGAGTGGAATTACCTCTTCTCCTACTGGGACTGCAGAAATCTCCATAGGTCCTGTTGCTATGATGGCTCCAAGGCTGTTTGTGGCTTCACCATATCTAGAGCCTTCTTGTGTCTTTCCTTCCTCTCACCAGAGTAAATAAAGAAAGGGGAAATGGCTTAATTTACCACACTACAAACTGTAGGAATCGGGAAGGATGGCAACTTCACTATAGATGCTGTCTTCTATAGGTGATAGGATTACTTAAGTTGTGTAATGGTTGGGTGATGGCTAAGCTGTTCCTTAGGAATGAATAATTAAACCAAGAATCTCTATCTTCAAAGGTGGTTGTCTATGAATATTTCTGGGAAGACCAAGCCGAGCAGACGCAAATCTCCTGCAGTGTCGTCCATCCCCAAGGTGAAATTTTGAAATTTGTAGGAAACTCAAGAGGCGTCACCATTCATGTAATGATATATACAGTTCATCTTGGGGGTTTCCAAGAACTGTACAGGCACTTCCTTAGACTGCCCAATGGTGCTATTGTGGAGGTAAGTACAAGCATCCTTGTTTAATACAATGAAATTTTAATTGAAAAAATGTTTGCCAAGATGGGCTGATTCAAAAACCCTTTGCTGCCTGAGGAAAAAGACAACAGTTGGTCCTCCAACCTACCAAGCTGAAGGCAGGGATGTCCTTGACTTCTTACTGGTTGCTTAGTAACCATTTGAAGTTAGATTAGATCTCCAAATTTCTGACAGCCACCTTCCCTCTGTGGCCACATGACTGTATGAAGGGAACTTGGCAGCCAGCCTCCATTTATGGCCATTTGCAGTGACTCATGGTCACATGATCTCATTTTATGATGTTTTTGCTGAAAATCACATTTACTTTTGGATTTTGACAAAACTGGCTCATAGTGAACAATTGGTTCAAAATTGGGTCGGTTCCATGACAACTCACTTTATGACTGTCCCAACTTATGTCTGTAATAGGCAAGTTCCATGTACCAGTACTAGCCTCAGCAAGCCATTATCTCTTCTATTCAAGACATTTTTTTTAAAAAAGTAGAAACAAAATAAACAATTAATCATTTTCCGTGCCTTTATAAATAAATCAAATCTTGTCTTCAAGGCAACAATCTAGCTGCCTAATGTTAAGGTTTGCCCCTTCCCTTTCTTTAGGACAGGTAAACTTCTGGAAACTCAGAGAGATGTGAAAGAGTGAAACAAATACTTGAACCAAAACTTTCAAACTATCCAGGCCCCTGGATTCCAGTAAGCCTCCTTAATCGCTTGCTTAGGCATTTGTAGATGTTGTCTTGTGAGTTATTTTAAATCAACACGTATATTTTTAAATGAGAACTAGGAAATGACTAAATACAAAAACTGACAAATGCCTATCTCAGTTTTATTATGTGTTCTGCTTATCTCACTATAAACAGAAAATCTGACCCTGATTATGATTGACATTTAATATCATTATTGGTCAGCATTTATTATATGACATATAATGTAAAGTAAAATAGAATAAAATAAAGTTTGTCTGTGCCCTCCTTCAGTGGGCAGAATGTTGTAGTTTGTAGTTTGTCCCCTGTGCTGTTCACATAAATTTGGCTCAAGGAGATTGTGTGGTCTCCACTCATAAATTGGATAATGGGATTTTTTTCTCCTCCAACTGGTGACTCCTTGTTTTACACTATTTCCTTGAAGCCAAGAGGGGTTAGTGGGGTGGGTGTTTGGGGTCCCTTTACCCTTGTGTGTCTCAGGAGGACAGATAAGGCCCTATTGTAGCTAACTGTATTTTCCCTGGTGCATTGGCAAAATGGAAACAGTGAGATGGGATGTTTTGCAGGGACCACTATGCTGTCACTTCCATAGTACTGTAACTTTTCGGAAGACACTACTAGTTATAGTTCAAATCTTAGAATCCATCTGGGTTTTCACTGTGGGGACAAAGAGGGCACTTGCCATCTAGGTCAGCCATTATTTTTTTAATATGTTTTGTATGTCTTTTTTTGACAATGAAGGAATTTGTTGTTGTTGTTAGTTGCAAAATCATGTCCGACCCATCGCGACCCCATGGACAATGTTTCTCCAGGCCTTCCTGCCCTCTACCATCTTCTGGAGTCCATTTAAGCTCACGCCTACTGCTTCAGTGACTTCATCCAGCAACCTCATTCTCTGTCGCCCCCTTCTTCTATTGACCTCAATCTTTCCCAGCATTAGGCTCTTCTCCAGTGAGTCCTTCCTTCTCATTAGGTGGCCAAAGTATTTGATTTTCAACGTCAGGATCTGGCCTTCTAAGGAGCAGTCAGGGTTGATCTCTTCTAGGACTGACTGGTTTGAATGCCTTGCAGTCCAAGGGACTCACAGGAGTCTTCTCCAGCACCATAGTTCAAAGGCCTCAATTCTTTAGCGCTCAGCCTTTCTTATGGTCCAATTTTCACAGCCATACATTGCAACTGGGAAAACCATAGCCTTGATTATATACACTTTTGTTGACAGGGTAATGTCTCTGCTTTTTAGTATGCTGTCTAGATATGCCATAGCTTTCGTCCCCAGGAACAAGCGTCTTTTAATTTCTTAGCTGCAGTCCCCATCTACGGTGATCTTGGAGCCCAGGAAAATAAAATCTGTCACTACCTCCATTTCTTCCCCATCTATTTGCCAGGAATTGAGAGGGCCGGATGCCACCTCACGTCTGGACTACTGCAACGTGCTCTACATGGGGCTACCCTTGAAAAGTATTCGGAGACTACAGTTGGTCCAGAATGCAGCCGCGCAAGTGATAGTGGGTGCTCCTCGATACACCCATGTTACACCTATCCTCTGTGAGCTGCACTGGTTGCCTATTGGTCTCCAGGTCCAATTCAAGGTGTTGGTCATTACCTTTAAAGCCCTATATGGCTCAGGGCCAGGCTATTTGCGAGACCGCCTACTACCTCATAGTTCCCTACGTCCGGTTAGATCCCACAGGCTGGGCCTCCTTCAGGCCCCGTCGGCCAAGCAGTGCCATTTGGCGAGGCCATGGAGGAGGGCCTTCTCTGTGATGGTGCCCACGCTTTGGAACCAGCTCCCCCCGGAAATTAGGACCGCTCCCACCCTGTTGGTCTTCTGTAAGCTACTTAAGACCTGGCTTTTCCGGCAGGCCTGGGGTTTATAAAACCTGACCCCTGGATGACTGTCTTTGTACTGTTTGTTTGTTATGTTTTATGTGTTTTTATATTGTTAGCCACCCAGAGTCCTTCGGGAGTGAGGCGGCTTATAAATTTTAAAAATAAATAAATAAATAAATAAATGATTTTGGTTTTCTTAATGTTTATTTAACATATCTAAAATAACCTATTTAGATTTCAAAATGGGTTGTTCCAACTGTGCTGGAAATTTCCTGAACTTAAGTGGGGATTTCTCATGAAGCCATTCTAGAATGATTTAGTTCTTGAGTAAGTTCTATTGGGAACCATTCTGACAAATCAGAACAGCTACATCAAACTTAAAAACATTCCAAAAGAAAAACAATTTACACACAACTATGAACAAAGAAAGCTGGCGAATGATTTTTATTTCCCAAGTAGAAAGTATTTATTAGCCCCATAAAAGCAATTACAAAAGCCAAGCTTCTGGTGCCACTATGATTGCATAGCTGTGCTGGGGCAAAGACAGGAAGGGTCTGTAATGTCTTCAGTTTAGATTTTTTTTTTTTAAAAGAAAGCTATTTTTCTGCCATTTCATTATGGACAACTACACGTCGTAGAGAAGAGAAGTGGTTGAGAGACTGTGAGTTATACCAGCACAGAAAACTAGTTTGGTAGGTTATCCATTGGTGCAGGAAGAACTGCGTAAACCAATTTCTTGGCAGGATTAAATGCAGTAGGGGATTTCAAATTTAATTGCAGTAGAAAGGTAGTTGATTAGAACGTATGATGTAAATAACAGCAGTGTTTTAAAAAGTGTTTTAAGTATTCCGTAGGGGATTGTTTGCCTTTAACATGTATGTGCTGCTTGAATCAACAGAAATGTCTCCTTAATGAATATTCTATTCTTTTTATTTTTATTTCTGGCGGGAGGGGGAGAGAGAGGTTACTAACTTATTGCTTTGCAAAACCATTTACATCCATCCATATGCTGTGAATGAAGTTCCAGCTCTTTTCTCTGTCTTGAAAAGTGAATAAACTCATCAAGGGCTTATTTTGAATGCAAGATCAGATACAGTATGCTGAGTGACACTTAAAAAGAATGAAACGGTAATGGTAGCTTATTTTCTGAAGCGGACTTGACACTAATGCTAAATTATAGCTTGGACTCATCCAGCATTTTTACCTTTATCGGGTAAGGCTTTTTACATATTTAACATAATTCTAGGAAAGATATACTGGCATTTTGTATCAAGATATGTATACTATAACCAAAGGGCACGTCTGTTCCCCAGCAGAACACTTCCTTCAAAGTTATTGCCATTTGGTGTCATTTTCTAACAAATATATAATACGATTGGTAAACAAACTAGATTTTAGATTTAAGCTGACAGCTGTTTCTTCAGAAGCAATATTTAGATATTTAATCTCAGGAACAATGAATATTTTGTGTCTGTTTGAGAAAAACTGCTTTTATCAAATGAAGAGCTATTTGTTTTTTCTGCACTGGAATAATAGCATGTAAAACAGCCCTCAAATAATGTACTGGTTTGCAGCTACTGATGATCCTTGAAAAATAAGATCATTATCTAATATTTTATTTTGGAGAGGAAAAAAAAATCCCCGACAACCTCATGCTGTTTAGGTTTGAAGCACTATGTTTAAAGTTGAAGATCTGTTTCTGATTAACTAAATGCCTGGTGAGAAACTGTTTCACTGAAATTGAGCACATATAAAGCAAGCTTGGTTTTTGTCAATACTGTGGTCAGATGCAGTAGATCAGTGGTTTCGGGCCCTTAGATGAAACATCACTAGTTCGTGAATTTTAAAAGAAGCACGAAGACTTCCTCTAGATTCTAAATCAGTGAGTAATAAAAATGATTAGATAACCTTTCCAGTAGCTAATTCAGTGGCAACTGAAATGGCTGAAAAATTCCCAAAGAGGAATTCCAAACAGTTTCAAGCTAAAGTTGCAAGTGTCATTGAAAACTGTCAGATATATCTCAAGAATTCTGACTGTAAGGTAGAAAAGCAGACAGAAAAATCTTCCCTTCTTTGAGAACCATTATCCTAATATTTTCAATACAACGCACAAACATAGAATCAGAATAACAGAATTAACAGAGCTGGAAGGGACTTTGGGGGTCTTCTAGTCCAACCCCCCCCCCAGCTCAAGCAGGAGACCCTCAGTCAAGCTTAAAACATATGCAATGGCATATATAGAGTGCATTCAGAAAGTATTCTGACCCCCTTCATTTTTGTCGGTTTTGTCATGCTGTAGCCTGACGCTACAGTTGTTGAAATTCATTTTTTCCCCTCTCATTAATCTACACTCAGTACCCCATAACAACAAAGTGAATACAGAATTTTAAAAACAAGCATATGACTGTTCTAGAGTAGGAAGGAGAAGAGGAAGGACTACTCAACATAATACTTGGCTTAAGAAAAGAATTCACATTTGTTTTTGACCTCTCATTTGCACCCGGACCTTGCGTGCAATGCTGAGTCCTAAACTCCTCAAAATAATAGCTGAGACCAGGGCAAAATAGTGTATTGCAGAATACAAAATTTCATGTTATTATCATTTACATTTAATGAGAATTAAATACATTTAATACTATTGCTCCCCAGCCATGTATTTAATTATTTATCCCTTTTTGTCACATTAAACATAATAGTTGACAAACATTTTTGAATTTCTCTGGGGCCTACTTTCAAGGCTTTTCATCATGGATGCCACCAGATTAGATTTTGTGTCTAATTTCATTCTCCTTCCAAATATATACTCTCAATCATGTGTTTAAGTAATATTTTAAGCACATAAATCCTTGTAATATTTTTTAGCATACAGTATTGCTATTTTAAGATTTTTTTTTAAAAAAATCATAAAACGTCAAAGATAGTTCCAAAGCAATATTAATTCAATTTACTTAAATGAAAACCTAACCTTTTCAGAAAGTACCTTCCAGCTACACAGATTGACAAAATGCATCAATTATAATTTTTGCTTACTTTTATAATTATACCGTGAAGTGAACTTTTGGGAGAAGTTGTTTAATTATAAAAGGTTACTGCCATTGAGTCATTTTAGAAACAATGACTTGGCCTTCAATTAATTTAATATACAGGCTATGTCCAATATCATAGCTCATTTGATATATATTTATATGACATGTTACAATTTATAATATGTCAGTTTTTACAAACCTTACAAAATTGATGTTTATAATAGCACATCTAAGCACTGTAGTAGTATCCATTAAATTGGAATATGTAGATCAGTCTCAGCATGGTTTAAAACCTCTGCTAGACTTACTAATTTCACTATAAAATTGAATGTGTAAGTTATTCGTTCATTTGTTTACAAAGATTTATATGCCATATATTCACCACATTTTTTGTGGTTTACAAACTAATATATTAAACTATTTCTACTGAAATCAACACTGCTTAAAAATACTTATCTTTACTTGTATTATTTTCATCTTTTCAATATTTAAGATTGGGGACTAAAGGATAAAAAAACCAGTCTGAGTATAAATCATAAGCCAAAATCATAAACCAATCGATAATTAATAAACCAAATTAATAAACTTGCATTCCAGATTCATCAATATGTTTCAGAGTTTCTTCATCCCATGGATGAATGGATTGTAGTCAGATGATCCCAGCCAGCTACATTAATAACAGTGGTTTGCGAGTTCTTGCATATTACTCAGTTCAGGTACCCTTTGGATATGTGGAACTTCAAGAGGCAGAACATCTAAGTAGTTAGGGAAGAAGACTGCTGAGGAGCCTGAAAAATGACCTGGATGATGCAGCTTCAGGAGTATTGGGTTAGGAAACTTTTGGTTTAGAACCTGGGTGTTCAATCTTGGCAACCTTAAGATCTATGGATTTCAACTCCCAGAATTCCCCAGCCAGCAATGGATATTGGGGAATTCTGGATACTCTTGGTTTAGAAGGTAAAATATGATTTTAAAAAATCTTTATTTCTTTAATATTTTTAAATAGATTTTTTTTTGACAATTTGCCATGGCTTGCCCATATCACCAGCAATTTTTTGCTGTCCTTGCCTAGCCACATGAACTGATTGGTCACTTCAATGGGCAGAACTTTCCTGTTAGATTTATCTTGAGATCCACATAAATTCCCTTCCCAGTAGGTCTTATAGATCACCATCCATATGTAACATGACAGTGGATCAGCTCACATTTTAGTTGTGAAACTGCAATAGTTTTGTTCAAATGTTCAAGATCTTCCCAAACCAAGTCATACATTTTTCCCCATGAAAAAAAAAATTCTTTCCTACCTGCCAATTCTCCTATGAAAAGAAAAAGACTGACCTTAAGCAACGATTTCTATTCTGCTATATTTAATTTTCCCTTGGAAGCAAACGTGGGTGTGATTAGACTCTCTGCATGTATTTAAGTCTTCATTTGCGAGTGTATATATTATTTCCAGCTCTCTTTGATCTGACATAATATTTTTCTGAAATAGCCCATAGTCAGTCACTCTGAATCTTGTATTTTCTAGGCATTTGGGGATGTCAGTGGAATCAGCTTTGCATGTAATGAAGTCACTGCAGACTTTGAGGAGCACAGAAGTGGAATGGATCCTCTGCTGGAAGCTTCTTCTTCAGGGAAATAAGAAAGAAGATGGGAAGGTATTAGTTGAGTGGCTGGAAATGACTAAAACTGTCAAGCTGAATAAGCCTTATAATTAAAAGTTCAGCAAAAAAACCCCAAACCCAACATTCTTCAACCTTCTTCCCCAAACCCTCATTTCTTCATCCTGATTTTTGAGTACTGTTTGGGGATACTAACAGAAGAATTGTTTGCTGAACAATTTGTTTGCTTCCTATAAAACAGAAATGGCTGGGAATAAGTCAGCTGATTGCAGTGATTCATGTCCAAGTTGAAATCTGGAGCACTTCTGTTAAAAGAAGACAGTAAGATTTGGATTCTTTCTATGTCCTGGTAATCTTGCCATAGGAAAAAGGGAGAACATTCTGTTACAGTGGACTTTAAATAGCATTTCTAGGAAAGCTGATATGTGTGTGGGGGTGCGGTGGAGTTGGTGGGTGGTGGGTATTTTTTGTGTGTATGTCCTTTACAGGACCTTCATTGTATCCTCCCTGGCCCCAATGTACATTTTTTGAACATTGGAGCAAAACTCAGGCATGCATCACTAACATATGAGCAGAACAGATATTTTTGGAATGTAAGGCTGCAGTCATTTTATTGCCTGGATCAATGGGCCAAATGAAGCATTTTCCTGCCCTGCATTCCATGTAAGCAAAACTAATTACAAGTTCAATGAACTCTTACATTTATTTTATTTATATTATCATGCTTAAGAACCAGCCATCTCCCTGATAGAGGGACTCTGCAGTAATTCTAGAAATGTGCATGAAAAAGTATCTGGTAGACTGGTAGGCTAGTTGGTGAGATAATGAGTGCAAATGTCTGTCTGTCTGTCTGTCTGTCTGTCTGTCTGTCTGTCTGTCTGTCTGTCTGTCTATCTATCTATCTATCTATCTATCTATCTATCTATCTATCTATCTATCTATCTATCTATCTATCTATCATCATCTGCAGCCTGAGGAATACTGGGAGTTGAAATCTATGCATGTTAAAGTTGCTGAATTTCAGAACTACTGATCTAAGCAATTTCATAATATTCTTTTCATTTTCAGCCAATTGTTTTTCCTTCAGTAAGAACAGAGACAAAGCCTATCTATCTTTGTTCAAATGACAGTTCTCAAAATTCATTAAGAGTTCAACATTATTGATTTTTATGATCTTAGAACACCAGACTGAATTCTTCAAGGCATGATGTCTCTCAAGCTAATTTTAATGTTACTATCAAAGATGATCAACTGCTACACTGATCAATGTTCTCAAGACACAGAATGATCCACTATTATGTGTTGAATGCAAGGGAGGTCTCTTTCAACATTTCTGTATTTAATCTCAGGTCTTCCATAAAAAAACTTGTAATGCTATAAATTCCCTAAAAGCCTGGCTTTCCTTTATATCTTCTATAAACAAGTATTACAGCTATGCATGTTTCAAAAATTATTTGGAAGAAGATTTCAGAGTGCATGAGTGCAGCACCCTTTTTTTACTTTTTTTATAAATATTTTATTAATTTTCTAATTTTACAATCATGAGTACTTAATAAACAACATGTTGTCTGGATCCATTGATAATTCAGTGGTACATATTAACTTTCTCAGTCTAGTTCCAATATTACACCATTCCTTGATCCTCTCTTCTTCCAACAGTATGCATTTTTCCACACTGAGCAAATACAATTCTTATTACTGTTAATATATATACAATTAAATATAGACATCTTCATCACATTTTTCTGGTATTATATATAATATCGATAGTGTCAGTTTATAATATCTTTTCTAGCCAGAACATATCTCAATTGCATTCACGCTTAAAATCCATTTGTTCAATCAAATCCTGTTTTTCCCGCTTTTTAAAATTTTTAATTTCCCATCAGTGTTCAAAATATCTCTATCACTTATAATTTTCTCATAATAAATTATATTTGGGTAACCAAAAGCTTTCCTTATTCAAACCCTTTTAGAATTTTCATATTTCCCATCTCACAACAAAGTATAATGTTTTAGTTATAAATTCTATCCTTCTAATTATAATACTTTTATTTCTAACAGTTTTCTATTTTCTTAACTATATTCAAACATCTGTTTAATAGTATAATATTCCATCTAATAGGTCAAAACCTCTATTTTCTTCAGTCTTGCTCTAGTTTTCTTCCTTCGCTAAATAACTTTCCAAGTCAGTGCATTTGAATCATCAAGTAATTCTTCCTTTGTTTGGAATGAGGAAGAGAATTTGATTGAAGTATTTTTGGAAGAATGCTCAACCCATTTATATTCATTAAACAGCCTCCATCCTTCTCCTTCAGTTTTTCTTTTAATTTCTTGTTTGTCAATATTCAGCATTTCTCCTAACAGCTTTGTCATCCTTTCAATCAGCTCTTCTTCCTTATCCTCAAATGTGTTCTGAGATCTTGACAAGTAAGATATCTTTTCCATTTCCTGTGTTATCACTGCATCTTCCAATTTTTCATTTGTCTGTATCTGTCTGTTAATTCCTTCCTTTAGGTCCTCCATCTTTGGATCTGTTTCTTCTGATTTTCCTTCTGTTTTCTGGGTTACTAGTTCCTTCTTTGTAGTCATTGTCTGAATTTGTAAGTTTAGATTAGAAAATTGTTCTTTTATCTCATTTGTGTTATTTTTAGTCTCATCATGAAATAAAACAATTGTCTCTTGGATTGATTTCAATATAGAAAGAATTTCTTTCTGAGATTCATTAACATTTTCTTGTTGGTATATCAAGCTGAGGGCTTGGGAGACTAGTGTTAAAGATGATTTTTTTTACCATTTGAGGCTAAGTATGGAATACACATTTTGTTTTTTTATGTAGTCTTTGTAGTCCATTAGGGTCCCCAACACAGATAATCAGCCCAAGAATTTTTTTCCCCAACTGCAGTCTGCAAAAATGAATGTTTCTAGGAACAACAAAGAGTCTTATCTAAGTCCTGGCTTCAAGCCAAGTTTCCTTTAAGCATGATAAATTGTAGTGCTGTGATTCACCACTAGATGTCGTTGACACCATCTTCCAGTTTTCCAAATCTAAGCCTATTTTACAGACTTTCAAACATCTTTTCTAAAAAAAAAAAGTCTCAAAGGTACTTTTAGTCCCCAAATTTCAAAGCTATATATCTGTATTAATTCCAAATTGATCCTGTAGTTTTCTCTATTTCCCCCCAAAGCAATTAATTTGCTGCTTTTCTTTTCCTGAGGGAGCAGGGCAAAAACTTCCCTTCCCTCTCTCATCGGGGAGGAATATTTGCTTTGGGCATTCTTTTTTCCAGGAAAGTAGTATTAAAAGCATAAAAAGAGGATAAAGTCTCACCCAGTTCCATCCATGTTGCTCAGAAATTACTAGTTAGTGCTTATCTTCAGTTGTCAGCAACTTCTGATTGGCCACATGAATGTAGCCAGTCTTTCCCCCGCTGGTTTGGAGGGCTTCCTTGTATCCAGCAGAAAGGCTGCTACTCCTCCATGATTGAAGAGGGTCCCCTCCTTCTTCATCGCCTCTCTGGGTGACTTTTGATTTTTTAGGGTCCCCAGAGGGGTGAAATTGAATGTGGAAGACAGAGCCCCATCTTCCTACACCCATTATGCTACGATGCCTAACTGGAAATCTCCCATGCAATACCCTTTTAAAGCAGTCCCTCTTTTATTAGGTTTCTGCCTGACTGTGAAAAAAAGATTGGCTGCTTATAAAAGCCTGAAAATGGAAGTGGCAGCTTCAAAGAGGTGTGCCAGCATCTTCTGAAGCACTTCTTCTGAATCATTTTAGAGATTGCACAGCCTGATAAATTATCCTTCTCCCACCCATTGGTACTCAAAATTGCTGGGGCTAAAACAGATTTCCTAGTCAGCATGGCCAAACTGTACATTGCATGCTAGGGAGGCTATTAACACCATGCTTCCTGTTTTACTACTATTATCCTAACTCTTTACTACACTATGATACTACTATTACTATGATAGTTGGCAATGGCAGCCTAAATATGAGAAAATGCTGTTTAATGCTCATTGAAAAAATAAGAACATTATTCTCAATACAAATAAGAATAGAATGAGATGACATGTTCACAAACCTCTTTTGAAAAATGTTTTCAAATGTTATTTTTTTTGAAAACTGTAAATCTTTTTGCACAAGAGAGGACAAATGTTTGCACATGAGGTACACAATGCTTTAACTGCTATGGTCTGCCTACATTGTTGTCCATTGAATTCAATATAAAATCTTTCATCTTTCTGATTTGAACACTGTCCCAAATTTGCAGAATGAGAGGGAACAATCTTATCTAATGTCCAGTTCACTGCCTGTCTCAAAGATAGGAGCACATAGCAATAGATGCAGCAAGATAGGCCACATTAAGTAGCAAACTCATGCTGCTTCATAGAATAGATCAATCCTGCTCAAACCAAAGTCTATTATTCCGATCAAAGATTAGTAATATTAATAATATTAACAATGCTTACTGGATGGGGATATCTTGTGTTAGAGGCTGGGGATTTCTGGGAGTTGAAATCCACATATCTTAAACCTGCTGAAGATGAGAAACAGTGCTCCAGGTTCTCAATGCTCTTAGGAAAAAAAGCACCACTACATAATAATAACTGAAATCAGGGAAACGGGAACAGTATTCCAATCTTTTAAATAAGAAATCAACATGACTAAATCCACTATTTGTAGCTAACATAATCCAACGATTAATCTAGTCCTCATCTTATCCTGCTAATTCCTATGACTAGTGAATAAATGCATAACAGTCTTTAGGAACTTTACAATTCTTTCCGGCTTCAAAAAAAATCATATTTAATCTAAGTGTAGACTTAAATGTATATTGAGTTCTTATGACTGCTTTCCAAATCCTGTGTGAATCCTATTGTTTCTTTTTTTTTTTTTTACTGATAAGATACATATGTAATAGAATTTGGCTCTTAACTTGTACAAATTGCATTTTCTTCTGCCACTATTAACTATCCCATTCATATCACTTAGTTATAGTCACATAATAATTGCCTGCCTATGGTGGAATTCCTTTTACAATTTCCTCCTGTATAAGTGAATATATATAGTCATTACTGAAAAGTGTAAATAAGGAACCTTTTTAGTGGCATAGTTTCCCTAGGTACCCACTGTGCTCTTATTATCTGCAACATACTCCCTCATCTGTAGTTCCAGTCTATTA